GTGTGATAATCTATTACCAATACTTTGAAGAATTTGTTGAGCGAGTGTTGTTTCTTACCTTCATAAAAAAAAAAACCGAAAAAAACAAAGCTTTATCAAATTAATCCCTTACAAGTATGTACATACGAGTACATATGTATCTTATGCGCATAGTAAGATGAAGGCAAACACAACGTATAAGTATAAACGCATCGATTTTTGATGGCTGAACGTGTTCAAGTTGATTTTTCGCATAAGTTTAACAACATCATCAGCATAATCATATACAAAACGTACGCAGTTGTGACAAAAGCGGCGACAAATGGGGAAAATTTCTTCATTGAAAATGCTATGAAGGAAAAATTTTGTGAACAGATTAAACAAGTACAGCTTTTGAAGTTATGCAAAGCTTATCAAAAACTCGAAGTAGCGATGTGCCTTTTACTCCAAATCTGTGGAGTGCATCTTTATGTTATTGCAAAAATGTAGGAGTCTGCAGTTCTTTGTTCGGGCATATGGCGCGGAATTTCCAATTCCATGATAAATGAAATCGGTTTTGAAAGAAGGTCCTAGATCGAAAAGTCAGCGTAAACGAATTTACTCTCTATGACCCCAGCATGGCGGACTGAATAGGCGCCGGTGTTTATCGGCCCCGCATTAGGCTTTCTATTGCAATGGGCAGATCGCTCGCAGAATTTCAAGCCGCGGTGCTAAAAACCTCGATCTCATTAAACCTTAAAAAGGGGTTGAAAGGCGCACTTTAGTTGGTAACAAGAAACTTAGTAACTCTGTGCTGCGTGCCAGATCACTGCGGAGTCGAAGGAAACGATATCGCCAACTGACTAATAAAAGAAGGCTCATGGTTTAACCTTGTGGGGCCGGAAACGTTTGCGATATCAGTCGAGACTTGCAGTTACCGAGTGGGTCCATTCAGAACGCAATAAGTGCAGTTGACCGCTAGAGGAGACCTTAGACAAAGCAGGCTCTTTGAATAACCTTTCGCTAGAACGGACTCAAATATTTTGTATAGATGAAATGTCAGGCTGCTCGGAGGTTACTAACTGGCCGAAATCATCTGCATAGAAAAATATGTAGTCGTGTTTTGTCTTAACTTAGACTTAGACTTAAATAGTTGAATTTATCCACAGTCGAGCACCGTATTATTCGTCGACCAAGTTGCTGTTAACATTTATTATAATAGCGTATATTATCTTAGACTGCCAGGGTTTTCCAGTCGGGACTTGGTTATATATAGGATTTTTCTAACGGTACTCTAACCGCCGACATATTCAGAATTCGCTATATAGAAGCTTTTGAATCAACGAATCGATATAAAGAGGCTTTTTGTAACGATACTTCGATTCCGATATCTACCAAAAAATCTTCAAAATATCCCGAAAAGTTCTCAACAATTTCCGAAAATTCCGAAAAATATAACACGAGAATTCGCGATAGGCTCAGAAAAAAAACAAAAAACCGCAAGCACTCTGAACAGTCCCGAAAAAATCGCAAGAAATTCTTCAATAGCCTCGATAAAACCCGAAGAACACCGAAAAATTTCAGAAAAAACCAAAAAGTTTCGAAAAGTTGCTAAAAAATGTCAAACGATCCTGAAAAAATCACGAGTAATTTTTTCGACAAGCAGTAAACAATATCTGACGAATTTCATATTTGCAGTAAAATAAAAAATAATAAAAAAATCGATTAATAAGCAGTGTGAAACAAATTCAATGGGCTGCAATGAAAGTTGTAGGAAAATTATAAGAACTAAAAAAATGTTAATAACACCGGAAAAATTCGCTTGCTTAGCAACAAACTTTTTTATGTTTATGTTTTGTATTTGATAGAAATTAAATTATTCAATTAAGTAAAAACCAACTCTCCAATTTTTTTTCCTTAGCCAAAAATCACAACTCCCCTTCAATTATCATTTTTGGTCGCCTTAAAAATGTTATTTCCAAAGTATTTTCATGAGATGTGGTTATGTACATACATATGTACATTAGACCGTACCAGAAAAAAAAGTTCGCTATTCGCCTTCGAATCCAAGGTATTTTTGAAAGGCTATTTTGATTTTTTTTTCTTTTCGAAAAGGTTCTCCTTATATTTTTTATCATATCTTCGGCATTTATAGTCAGAGCTTAAAGTATGGTACATCAATAAATATTCTTGTCTCTAGCAGGCATTGTTGTGTCTCAAAGTTCATTGACTTTAGGTACCCATATTACTTAGCCACCAAACCTCAGTTTTTACCACCCTAATGTGAGTAAATTCAATCTCACCAAAAATCATTTACCTTTAGCTAAGGTAGTATTTTCATTATATCAGTTGAACTATTAAAAATAAATATTTCATTGCCGAAAAGGCGACCCGAGATACAGCCAAAAAAATTAAATAAAATTTCAAATTGCTTTGCAAAAATACTTAAAACTCAGGCCGAACTTTTTTGTGTTCATGTAAGGTGTTACGGTCTAATGTATATATTTACATTCTGACCCAACTGTATGCTTGCAACTGATGAAGATTTGTTGACGTAGCTAATATTGAAGGGATGTCAAAGACACAAGCATGGATTCAGCAAAGAAGGAGGGCGCATTTCCCACTTGATCGCATATCAGACATGCCGTATTAACTTAAAGCCGAACTAAAATCTTTTACATATTGTATGTAGTATATTTCAGGCCTATCTTGATCGAATAAAAACTGAAAACGCTGGCTTTACAATGGCGTTTTTCAATATTTATACTTAAAAATTAGGTCAGTGGGTAAACAACTTTATTTGTTAGACGGTCGTAGTAGAAAGAGAAGTATGTATATATATATATATATTTACATACATAGTTCATGCTGCATAGTTTTACTACTACTTCTTAGCTTCTATTAATTTCTAATTTTTTGCATAATTTATGGGCCACGCCATTTTCATTATACCTAATATTCATATTCTTCTATATATTTAGTATGTAACTTCTCTACATCATCATCTTCAACACGTTTTTTTTTTAGTCACATTCTAATGAGCTTACAACATCCTCCCATTTCCGCCACATCTTGTCATTTAGCGCTTTTTAGCATTTTGGCGCACACATTCCTTCTTCGGTCCTTTGTTTGCAAACAAAATTTCGCTTCCGCTTTAAGCATACTCGTAGCTCTCAGCAGCGAGCATTGTGCTAAAGTGCGCAGCAAATAGACGCTCATAAATCTGTGCATTTTTTTTTTGTAACTTATTAATTTTTGTTTAATTAACTTACGGCGCGTGATTTTCAGCGTAATTGAGGTGAAGAAGTGAAGCAAAGTCAAAGTCTTTTTATTTGTTTTGCGAGATGCCACTTGTAAATTCGTAGTTTTTTGGCTCGTACGAGCAGTTGCAGCAAAAATTAAGTAATGAGTTTAGTAAATTAAAACGGAAATTCACTTCTAATAACTGCTTAAGTTAAATTTGCGCAAATGCAGTCAATTAAGATTATTATAAAAAAAAGTGTAGCACAGTATTAGATTGAGTTATATTTATTAGTCTGGCTCAGGATTGAGTGATTTTTAATAAGTCAAATCCCAAATCCAAAAAAAAAGCAATTTATTTCTGAATTTAAAGCTTTATTAAATCCTAAATCATATAAACTAATTATTTTTACGACGAATCAAATCCTTAATAAAATGTATGTATGTGTGTTTTGATTCGGACGCGGACTCCGTTAAAGTTAATAATCTTCACTATTGTTTCTTAAACAATACAAATTACCTTAGAATAGACTCCATGACTTACCAATTTAAAATCAGCGTGCAAAAATGCATTGCGTGATATGAAGCAATTAAGCTTTTTTTCCAAATTATAGGCACTTTTCCTATTTTAAGTAAAACTTAATGGATTAGCGTATGTAACTTTTCGGCTCGTGAGGTACATACGTCTTTCGGTTATCCGATTTTGAAAATAATTGGCGTGAAAATAAGGCGCACACTAATGTGTGTACATGAATACATACCCTGCAGGAAATGTATCTAACTATAAGCTAACTTTAACTTGATTAGGAAGGAGCTAAAAGTCAGTTATTATCTGTATATTTTCTTTGACGAAATCTAACTATATTTCTATGGCAATGGCCGCGAAATAGTCAAGGGTGGTTACCTCTGCATTTGATGTAACTAACTTGTGACTAACTACTCGTGGACATAAAATATCAATACGTAAAACAAAATTATTTTTTTATTTTTTTTTTGTATATTTTTATTTATTTGCTTTACTTATTTTATTACATTTCGTATTTGTTTACATGTTCTGCTTTGGGTGGTCCCATATTCGAACTCCGTCAGACATAACTTCAAAATGATAATACGAAATTTCGATCTTCCTTTTATTTGTCCTCAATTCGAAAAGGTATTTGTGAAGTGAAGGATATTTAAATAGAAACGAGTTTAAAGAAAACAATATACTGCATCACTCTTGCATTACTTGTCAACTAGTTTCAAGTTAGATATTTGTAGCTAACTTCAAGTTATATATTTTTTAGAAATCCCGCAAAAAAGGTAACTACAATTGGGTTATTTTTTATCAATTGATAATATTTTTCGTCAGGGTATGTATGAATACGAAATGAGTTTGCGATTAGAACTTTCATTCAACATATAATTATGAGTGTTTGTTTTTCGTGTATTAAAAGTTCACTAGCCTCTTTTATAAAAATAAATCGTGACTTTTCCGCGCTTTGCAGATCAGAACTACAAAGCAAAAACTAAATCAACTAAGTCATAGGCAAATAATTAAAATAAACCGTGGAAAATAAAACCAACAAATTAGCACAGTGTTTTGCGCTAATCGCGCTGGCAGCGCCTTCACAGCGCTTAGTAATAAGAGCCGCGCTTACAGTTCAAAACCGTCAGCTCTGCTAAGACATTTAACAAGTAAAACTATGCCACTCCGACACCCGACAAAAATGGCCAAAATGTAACAAATGCAAAAAAAAACAATAAAAGAAAAATCAACACAATAGCATCGTTGAAGTGACAACAACAACCACCGAGGCATCATGCATTCCGCTGCTGCTATCCACCACCACCACCAGCACCACCACCACAAACCTTCAGCAACCCCTGCTAGTGGGCGCCACCGCACAATTGGCCTTTTAAGCAGCTTCATGCGTCGCTTATTAAAACTTTTGATTAGCTGCATTCTCATGCCGGCCATACAACATCACATTCACATTAATTGGTCTCCAATGTCAACATCTCCAACGTCCAGCATGGTGGTGCATGCATCTGCCATCTCCCTTTCTGTCTCGATGTCCACAACGAATGCAACCAATGTCGCCGGAGTGTCTGTGCGCAGCGCTGCGCATGACGTCGGTGTTATGTCTGCTGCAGCGGCTTTGTCCGGCTTGGGTTCACGTGCGCCCGCTTCCTGGTCGGTGGCTGCTTCTCACATGCGCTTGACGCAACGCAACAATCATGCGAATATTTCCGAGTTGCTGGACAATTTATTACGTGGCTATGATAATAGCATACGACCGGGATTTGGCGGTAAGTGGAGGCTTTTTTGAAAAAAATACGATTATATTAAATGCTTCAAGTTAATTATTTTGTTTATCTGTTATTTATTTTTAATCATGCAGAAATTATTACACCTCGAGTCATAGTTATAGGCGCCCCACATAATGACAAGTTTAAGGAGATTATTATTTGTTATTTAATATTAGGTATTTTTTTATAAAAACATAGTTTATTTTTTAACAAATCATATATAAATCCAGTTTTCTAACTTCGTAAAATATTTAAACAATATTCAAAACAAAAATTCATTTTAACTAGATCGCTTAGAAAGGTTTTATGTATGCAGCAGTGTAGCCCATCAATTTTAATATCACTAAGTGCAAGTGTTGATTTTTGGAAACTTTTTTTGTTGAAGCTGTTGCTCATTTTCTTCCATACGAAAAAATCATCGAACATACTTTGTATGGACGAAAATGCAAAATCTTTCTTAGAAATCCTATTAAAAAGCTCGAAATTTTTACGAAAGTTTTTTGTTTTCCTTTTTTTTTTTAATATTGCACAAAGTTTGCACTGGATTTATGCGGTTTTTTTTGGGTAAACTATGGCCCGTGTTTATAAATATTTAAAATAAAGTCGACTCTAAAGTTAAAGGTACATTTTTTATCAGATATCCCATTGAATACAACAACAACATTGTTGCAGGCAGCGAATGAAGAGGAAAAAGTTCTTTAAATTTTATTTCATCGTCAGATCCTTTGAGAACTACAAGAACTTCTTTGCGGACATATCACTTTCGTTAGGTTATTTAAGACGGCTTATACTATCTTGTGAGTTGAGGGTATGAAGCTTAATCGATTTTCTAATTAATTTTGCTACTAATATTATCAATTTCGCTATCGAAATTTTAATCGAATTTGTAATCGATTTTTTTATCGATATTTTATCGATTTTGTTAGCGATTGTTTATCGATTTTGTTATCGACTTTGTTATAGATGTTGTCATGGATTATTTATCAATTTTGTTATCGATTGTTTATAGAATTGTTTCGATATTTTTATCGATAGTTGTATCGATTTTCCAATCGATTATTTATCGGTTTCGTTAGCGATATTTTAATCGATTTTGCTACCAATATTATAATCTATTTTGCTATCGAAATTTTTATCGAATTTGTCATCGATTTTGTTATCGATATTTTTATCGGTTTTGTTATCGATATTTTGGATGTTACTATCGATTGCGTTAGCGATAGAGTATAAAGATAAAAATGAAGATAAAGGTAAACAGAATAACATAAATGTATGTAATTAGAACGAACAGGGGTAGAGGTTGGGATCTAGATAGAAAAAAGACAAAAAATATAACCTTAAGCAAAAGCAGATATTGGTTGTGAGACAAAATAGATATGTAACGTAGGTTTCACTTCTCCAGTGTGGCCCAGGCTCACTTACTTTTTTTTACAGGCTTTTCAAATGATTGCATGCTGATGCTCTGCATAGCTTTTTGTCAAACATAAATACTAATCGGAAAGTCCAGGCAGCCAACTGCTTAGCCGAGTTCCTCTAATCAAATAAAAGTTGAGTCATTAAATTCCAATAACACGTTCAAAGGCTCAAAGGAATTTCCATCACCTAATGGCCACTTTAACTGCACTGCAACCTAAGCGTACTTAAATATAGAAAATGTTTTTGTCTAATATTAAGTTAAATTCTATAAATACATAAACCAGAAACGATTATTATTAGAAAAGGGAGCAAAAATATTTAGCTTTGAGTTAATCAAATAAAGTGCTGCTACGCATTTCTATTTCCATACAGCATCATACTTTGAATACTTTTAAAAAGCTTCTGAATTATGAAAGGCAATGTATGTAAGTAGCAAGGGCAACTTAAATGAGCCAAGCATTTGATTAAACAAATCATTGGTGGCAAATAGTTGGGGTAACCACCGTCATGTCCTTTGACACTCAAGTAATTGGCATATAATTTGTCAAGAGCAAAACGCTTCAGCAGAATTGAAGAATTTTTAAAGCAATGCATACTCAAATATTCGCTATGTGCTATTGCACTGGAGACCATAGGCGTAAATCGGCAACATTGGTGGGGGCATTAATGAGTGTGTGAATGGAGAAAATAAGCTGCTAAATGCCTAGGATTTTAGCAAATGACAAACGAAGACTTTTCGGTTGCTATTCATCTGGCCCAGTTGTGCTGAAATTTTTAGCGTATCCACTTTTTTGATTTATGTATGTATGTCAGCGATGGGAAGAATTGTATTTACTAAATATGTATCGAGTATGATAGTGTTAACTTAACTTCTTGTCACAGTACTAAATACTAAGTACAAAAGTATTTAGTTAGTTTCCCCTAATGAAAGCGTGCAAAAAATACAAAAGGACTTAGTACTTACGATTTGATGCTAAATACACTACTAATATAAAAAAAAAAGAATTTCGTCACTTCAGTACAATTTGAGGTCTTTTACGACTACTTCGCGATTTACGGAACTATTTTAGGATTGTCGGAATTTGTAATTCTATTTCGGAATTTTCCATGTGTGATTTTTCTGAAATTTTTTTCTCGCCCCGTTCTCCAGATATTTGGAAAACTATTAAGTCGATTTGTTTTTGTTTTTGTGCTGTAAAGTTTTTAAAAATGTATTAATCAAGCTAAAATTTCATATTTATTTATTATTTATGTTTATGCATCAACCCTAAAAATTTTAAACAAATCAAACACATGAAGTGTGAACCCTGAACGTTGTGGTATAGAACGCCCCATATACTAAGTGCATATTTGGGTATTTAGTACCCAAACTGATACTTTAAAAACGAAAGTACTTAAATACCACTGTTGTATGTAACATACTCATGCATAAATTTCGGAAAATCTGAAAAGCTACCGCTAGCAAAAGGCGACAATTCCGAAAACTGACATTTATGAAACTGTCAGCTAAGGCAATCGTTCCATCAAATAGTAATGGCGAATAGCAGCGATGTCCTTCAAATGATGAAGGCGAAATGCAAATTAGCTAGAGACGAGAGACTCACCGAAGCTTCGTATGCAGTCGAGATAAGCTAAACGCAGCAACTGTGCTTAACGGACGTTGATAAGGCTTGTGTCTAAGCGAATATGAGCGCTGACACGCAAAATGCAAAGGAAGTAAGTGGAACGACTAATATGTATTGAGGGCTAGTGACAGCAAACGCGTATTACACCCAACACTTTCTGATTGGCCTTCTCCTCCCTTAAAACAGCGATCAAACAACCGCGCTGCTGTGCTGTTAGAGGAAATCCGAGCAGCTGAATTGCGTGCGGAAAGTGTTGAGGCACGGAAATTGTTTGCCGTTGAAAACGCTTGGAAAACAATAAACAATAAAGAGCATAAGGAAATTGACAATTTGCATACATATATTTTCTTTGCAATTACAACATTTTGCTGCTAGCAATTTCCAATTAAGAAAAAAAAACGTCTTTCAAAAACAGCAAATCGCGTTATTCACAGGTGAATTTGAAAAGCTGTTACCTTTCTCAAATACTTAGTGTGCCAAATAAGCTTGTTTGCAATTCTCTTTGACTATGTTTTTTGCTCGCTGTCGCTTTACGTTCTATATTTTACTGGTATTTTGCACAACAGCCATACAAATGCTGCAAATGCATTTAAGAGATCTTTCACACTTTTATGTTTACACTAACTTCTTTTTTTTGTGCATTTTGCATGTGGGAATGTGCTTACACACACATATGCTTGATTAAGCATTTCCGTTTCCACGTTTGCTCCAGCGTTAGCTTTGTAAATCGCCTTTGTGGCGAAAATCGACAAACAGCCTCACTGCTTTGAGGTATAAATCAGTGTTGCGACAAGGATTTTTTATTTGTTACTAAAATCGCCAGAATGAGTTACCAAATTCTGGCATGAGTTGCTCACGTTTTTCAGGTTCCGCGAATGCGGACGCGAGAGTAGGAGTAGGACAACCGTAACAGCATATGCCCCAAGAACTACGCATACTCTCTGGCCAACACTAAAAGATCAGTTAGTCTAGACTTAATTTACTTAAGTTAACTTTATATTTTAGCTAACCTGTTATACGGGAAGCTGTGTTAGCGGTTAGTCAAAACATAACTTACCGTAAGAAACTTAAGAACCTGTAGCTTTTAGATACAACCTTTTGGAAATTAAGAGCGGTGAGAGAATCAGGCTTGCCAGATTTTCATTTTGTATTTCTTTATAATAGGTGAACGCTACAATTTTTTTGATGTGGCATTATAAGCGCAAAATGTCAATCAGCTGAGAGAACGCACACAGAGGGAATCTAAAATAAGCAAATATATTATTTTCAAGTAGATGTATGAAGTCTTCATATAGGACCTCCAAATCCTAATTCTGGAAGGTAATTGTCAACAATAAGTCACTTGACCTACTTTCTACCTATCTACCTGTGTCTCTGAGGATCACGATTCTCTCATTGTTGTATTTCCTATTCAGATTTATCTCCGCGCACAGACTGATGGCTTAGATTTCTGCCTGAAATGTCATCGAGTACTTTAACTTTGGCACCGATATCCTTGGGGCCATAGGGTACTCAGCTGGAGACGTAGTTCCAAAATGGAGGTGGACAATGTTCATTTCCTACACACTTCTATATTGAACCTCTTTTTAAATAATATTGTCCGTGGAATCTTATCTATGAGTAGTAGAGTAGAGTTGGTTTAGCTGCCAGCTCTATAATTACATGTAGAGCCTGCAGCACTTGAATTACCTACAGCGTAGGTGCGCTTCGCAAACACATGCCAGACTTTGAAGCTTTGTGAGCGACTGTTTCACAGGGTCTAGGGTAGTTCTTGAGACTGAAGCTACCGTCATACATCTAAGGATTCTCGGGCTGCATGCCCACGATTATTAGTGCTTTTTTGGCTCTGGAGATGGCTGTGTCTACGATTTTTTCCATGGAAGTTTGGTATCTAAGATCAGCCCCGGATAGTTCACTTCGCTGGTAACACTCACTGCAACCCCATCCAAGGATATATTGCTCATGCCCGGAAGGATCCTTCTCTTGGTGAAAGGAATGATTGACGTTTTGGTTTTGGTTCGGTAGACTTTGAGTCCTATCTTCCGTTTGAATTACTTTGCAGAGAGTGCTCTCAAATTTCCATCTAGCTATTATGACCATGTCATCCGGTGGTCTGATAGTTGCCTAGTTAGCAGCGTAATTAGTTACCGGTGGAAGGCTAAGAGAAAAGTGTAGCCGCGCTTATATCTGCGAGCTCTGTTTAAAAATGCTGCAGTGCTGTGGCAGCCTAAAACAAAGATTTAGTGGGAGATGTTTTTAGTGTATCACGCCTCCTACATTTTTGAGTCATCCGCGAATATGAGGGTAGAGCTATCTCGTACCTCGAGACGATATAGCTTTCACAAAAAAGTTCTTAGTTAGAAGGCAAATGCAAAGAATGACCTAATAATGCTACGATAGTGGGCTAGCATATTAATATGAGCGAGTCACTTTTACTTTTAGTCTTATAGATTACAGCGTGCCTGAAACTTAAAAAAAAAGCTCCAAAGGGTGAAAGTTTAGGGCATTAGTAGCAGTTCCGCGCCCCTGTTACTGGTATGCAGGAAGTCACTTAAATCTCACTGAATTTAAAATTAGTAAGCGACTTATCCTGTGATGCCATTCCACTTAACTAACACTTTAAATATTTCTTTTTTGAATAAACTTTTTGGAAACAATGCAAATGAAATGCCATATTTATAAATTCACTTTTTCATACAAATTTGAAGTGAATACTTATTTAACTCTTTCCAGGCCCACCAGCTACAGTTGAAGTTGACATAATGGTACGCAGTATGGGTCCAATTTCCGAAGTGGATATGGTAAGTCAATGCAAAAGATTTTATACTTCTACTATTTACTCAAACAAAACCAAAATGTTTCCCACAAAAAAAAATATATATGTACATACATACATACATATTTAAATGGCAGCAAGAACATCAATCATAAACAGGTCGACATTTGCATGTAAAGGCAATTTAATTTTCCAATTAATAACGCTAATTAGTTCTGTACTATGAAGGAAGGAGCGCTGCCCACCTCCAGCATTTTGACACTTCAACAGCTTCTTCGCCACACGAACAAATTGCATGTAAACATTTCTTATTAATTATTTTACAAGTGTTTATTTGTGTTGAAAAGCCTAACAAATTTATTTGCTCTTACCAGTTACACAAATCAAAACCAATTAAAATCAGCAAAAAAAAAACTACGAATGGGTGGTAGGCAAAAACGCTTAGACGATAAGAGTCACGCGCAGACTGACTTCAATTTATTATTTGTTGATTTAGCAAACACTTACACTCTCACACCACGAATTCATGCACATTTGCACACCTACAAACATACATTTGTAACCATACACATACATCCGTACATAGTATGTTATTAAATTAACGCGACGCCTTTTCATTTCGATTAAATTCTCTGTGGTAATTTAGCTTTGCCTGAAAGTAAGCATTATTATTTTCTTTTTTTTTTGTATTCATTCATCTATTGGCAGACATATTCCATGGATTGCTATTTCCGTCAATCGTGGGTGGATAAACGTTTAGCCTTCAAGGGCGCTCAAGATACATTGGCTTTGAGTGTTTCGATGTTGGCGCGCATTTGGAAACCCGACACTTACTTCTATAATGGCAAACAAAGTTATCTACATACCATTACGACACCAAATAAATTTGTGCGCATCTATCAGAATGGCAGGGTGTTATATTCGAGCAGGTGAGAGATATTATAATTATTACCACATTTATGTTTTTAAGCATTATTTGGAAATTGGAAATTACATAGTTAGAATAAGCATTGAGAATGGATAATGATTTGTATTAAAATTTGCTCTTAACTATCAAAAACAAAGAGCATTTGGGTAAGGCTTTTAATTGTCCTTTCTTTCAGCTATAAGTCACATCCATCGACTGAAAATAATCCGCTTATGGTTGGTTGATTGGAAGAAGCATCGCCTGAGTACTTTCTCAGAACCCACTTAGCGCTGAGAGCATACGCTTTCTGTGAAACACCTGATAAAGAAAGTGTCAAAATGGGGTAAGTTGCACGTTTTCAATAGTTTTGCGTTCAATAACTTTTCTGGTAAGTAATTGCAGCGAGAGCGTAAAAGAAAAATAGGGAGTGAAATTGAGAGAGAGAATTATCAGAAAAAGTTATTGAACGCAAAGCTATTGAAAACGTGCAACTTACCCCATTTTGACACTTTCCGGAGGGGAAAGTTTTGACCCGCAATTTTCTTTTTGATTGGAACCATTTCTCATCGTCATAAAAACATATGTACATTAGATTTAAATTGTTCATCCATATTTTCATTTCACTCAAATCATCCTCTTAAACACTTTGTTAAAATTTGAATGTGAAACATAACCTTACCTTTTGACACTTTGCAAATTCTCGCTAGTAAAATTTTTAATTGCAAGTATTTGCAGCCCTCTCGCATTATTATGCACTCGAATTTGCTCGCTCTTGTAAATAATAAATAAAAAACTTGCAAGTAATAGTAACAATTCATACACATTTTTTGATATTGAATGGACCTATTTATTATCTGCTCTCATGATTTGTCAGTTTGGTAAAATCACTTGAATTTGTCGATGAATCCATTTATGTTAGAAATGAAGCATTTGTAAATTTGCTGGGCACTCGCAAATATAATGTTCGACCGTTGCAGCAACGGCGCCGTTGGTTGTACGGAAGATCAATTTTGGTTGCATGTTCACCAATGGGCCAATGTCCCGTTATCGTAGCTGTTAAGCTGACTTTATCCTTTCTCGGCTTCTTTAAAAGTTCCTCCGTCCTTGGGTTGTCATGATTCGGCCTATATTCCTAGCAGGTTTGAATGTTGTGCCATACGTGGACATTGCAAGTGCAGTTCCTATTTGATGAGTCCGAGTAGACGGTTTATTGTCTATACTTCCGATTCAGCTAAGAGATGTTCCGGCCTTAAATATCAAGATTTTTATTTTTAGAATATTGTAAAAACGTTGTTATTTCGATTTTTATTTTTCCGATATAATCTGGATTTCCATATTTTCGATCAAATGCAATCGTTATTTTTTGAGTTGATTATAAAATTGAAATTATATTTCCTGCGATCATTTATTGTATTCATATTTTGATTTAAAAAAGTTTATAATAACAATAAGAAGTAATCCAGCTTAATAAAATATTTTAGCATTTGGGAAAGCCAGTTTCAAACCACTAATTTGCTTTAGCAGACATCTTTGTAGCGCCTCCATTCGCTGCCAACACCTTTTCCGTGGTGCTCGCGCGTTCACCCGCTACGGTTGTCACTTTCGAAATCGCCTTATTAGCTGCGCTTATAACAGTCGCTTTACGCCTATCCCGCACAACCAAGACTTGTTTCTGCACTTCACTGTCAAAACCACGTGCGGTCAGAGCTTCGTTGCTGCTTAGTTGATTGTTTTGCATCGCTTGGTACTTTCACTTCCACCGACAACTTCAACTTTGGCTCTGAGAGCTCCTGTACGCAGAGGAGGGCTGAAAGAAAAGGTTATAAGGCATGTGGTTTCTTTATCCTCGAGAATCCTTGAATATTTTAGTAGTACCCACCAGCGGCGAAAATCACTAAGGTCTTCATGTTGCTCAACTTATGTTGCTTTGCCTTAGTTATGTCTTCTGTCCTGACTTTGAACCTTTTTATACACAACTTCGCTGAACCTCTGCCTGGTTCGAATCGATTGGCTCGATAAAAATTAAATTAATTTGAATGTTATGGCAGTTTATAATGAGCATTCGTTTGACTAGTTAATATAGCCACAAGCCCATTTTCCAATGCTTCTTCATACATACATATGTAGCACCTAATAAAGTGACTCAAATCGGCGGCTGCATAATTTTCCTGTTAACAATTTCCCGTTCGTACCACTAAGTTCTATTTCCAGAAAGTATGTCAAGTTCCCAAGTAACACAAGCATTTGGACATCTGGAACAATTTCATTAACAATGAATGCGCCGGCGCGACGTTTCCATATTCGTGAACTCGTTTGAAAAAAAAAAGTTCACTAACGAGTTCGAAAAGAAGATGCAACACATTAACCAAATTAAGTAAGACGACGGGAAGATATGACGCATACGCTGCCAATGATAATGAGAAGCTTTTAGTAAATAAAAAAATCAATAGCTGTGACTCTCCGTTATTCGTGTGAACATGTACATATGCGAATGAAGAAAAAAAGATGTGTGCTCAAATTTTGGAGTGATGCGTGTAAGAAAACTGCAATGCAATGAAGAGGTCGAAAGGAAGAAGTGAAATTGTTTTCACCAGTCACGCTTTATTAAGTTAAGTTACAATTAAAAGGTGGGGCAATTGCGCTAGTGATTATGTAAAAGTCTCACCAAGAGATTCGAAGTGAGTAAACTTTCATCAAAGTTTGTATATAAAAAGATTCAAAGTGAGAACAGAAGACATAACTAAACTAAACGTTAACCGAGAAACATGAAGACTCTAGTGATTTTCGCCACTGGTAAGTACTACACCCAAGGATTCTAAATTATACCAAATTAACAAATACTCCTTGTAGCTATCCTCAGTGTACATGCGCTCGCCGTGCCCAAGCTGACTTCCACTTCATCCGAATCCAGCGAGGAGGAACATCGCGTCATTTTACCTGCTGGTGATAAACGTCCTGTCGGCTTAGCGGGCGTTGGTGCCGCTGCTAGTCCACCTGATTTAAAATCTGTCGAGGTTAAAGTGCCAAGCAATGCAAAGCCATCAACCAAGCAGCAGTTTATCTCCGAAGCTCTGAAGGCACCGGGTATAGGCAGTGAAGCCCAAAAACGAGCCTTAGTGGTGCGTAATAGACGTCAATTGTCTGGTACAACCGCAGCAGGGAAAACATCACCGGAAATTACAACGGTAGCCAGCGAAAGCGCAAGTAGTACAGTGAAGGCGGTGTCAGCAATTGGAGGCGTGACAAAGGCACCTGCTTCGGCCGCAGCTACTGTTGGCACTAAGTCAAATTAGTGACTTGAAACGTAGGATTTCAGAAGGATAAAAGCACGTATTTAGTATTGTATTTTCTATGAAATGTGTGATAATTTTTTTGTTACTACACATTACTCAATCTGTAATACTTTTGATTTTTTTTTTTTGGTTTTGTAATTGAAATAAAGATTCCAAGATTATCCTGAAAAATATGATTTTTTCCTTGAAAAAACTTGGTAACCTTTCGCTTGTAAAAGGCTGGGGCTTCAATAATATTCCACTCCACTCCATGATTCCGTATAGAAAATATGCTACTTCATCAAATAATGTGGTATGTGCGATCTTTCTTATTATCCTGGTAAGTCGGAATGTGGACACAGTGGGTTCCTAGCTGCCCGGCCGGAAATTCTCTAGACAAAGCTCTGATCCCATCTGGAGCCTGGCTCGATTTCCGTAACTGAGATTTTTTCGACAGCGCCAAACAGCTTCTAGCAAGGAAATCCGTTCTACAGATAATCTATTCTGGCGCTTAATAGATTTTCTTTGCGATGTTCACACCCAATAGTATCTGGACAAGGCCTAGCATACAAAAATTAATCAGAGATAATCACTTCTGGCACTGAACAGATTCTCTCAATAACGGTTATCTCTCGTAGTGCCTGGACCGGCACTACCACGCAATATCTTGACTTGGGTAGGAAGACAGATTTTTTCTAGTACGTTTACTTTGTAAGGGTAACCTTGACGGGCTCGAGATAGGTCGGCCTGAAACAAGTTTATTTTCTTAGAGACTGGACTGGCTCCAGAATAATAGTTTGAGATAACCACTTTTGGTGTTGGGAAGATTTTCTTAACTGATATACTTTTTAGCAGTGCCTGGACTGGCTATATCCTAAAAAATCCTGTTGCTGGCAAGTTTTTTCTTACAATGGTTTTCTTGATACCACCATGAAAAGCTCTGGCAAGCGACAACCATACATTAATAAACTATCAGGACACTGAGTATTTTCTCCGAAGCTAAACTTTCAGTACCAGAGGTTGTAGCAGGATGTAGCGTACAAGAACTGATCAGAGCTTTGCATCGATACATCAATGTTTTTGAAAACTGACTGCAGAAAAGAGAAGTGGCAAAAAAATGTAAATGGCTCTAAAAATTTCCATTAGAAACATAATTTCCTCAGTTACAGTAATTAATTTGAAGTTTTTACAATTTTGCTTATGACATATTTTGCTGTGAAATAATATCTGAAAAATGACAAGCAAATCGATGTATGCCCTTCGATGTATCAAATAAAAGAAATACATTGATGTATTTTTGCCACTAACATGTCTACTAGCGCCTCGAAAGTTTTCCTTGTCGGATGCTAGACGGAAGAAAGCAAATCGGACCAGCTTCAGTGCTATTAGCGGCGATGCGGTAATTTAACCACCAAGAACGGATGCTAACGTTCAAGCATAGTTCGGTTGTGGTCCGGAAATGGCTTTCCCTCTGCGTAGGCGAAACCCTCGAAACCCCTTGTTTTCAATATCGCGGAGTTGTTTATACTGAGCTGGACAAAAGATTTTACATTTCTAATTTTGTAAGATGTAAGGCTGCCAAATGCTTGCAATATTATTGTAACAAAAAAAAATGTTTTTTTAAGATACTTTCGAAACTTTTATTTCAAATAAAATAATCAGTATTAAGAACACAAGATCACTTTCATCATAGAAAAAAACAATAAAAAATAAACAATCAATAAGTTTAAAGAAGTCCTTCGCCATTCCTTCTAAATCCTATGTTTCAAGTCAATTATTTGTCTTACTGGCGACTGTTTAGCCTTGCGACCACAGCATGCACCTTTGCAAGCCTTCCAGTCGCTGGCATCACCTTTCTGCAGTACTCGCGCGTTCACCGGCTACAGTTGTAACATGTTTCTGCGCTTCACTGTCAATACCACGTGCGGTCAGAGCTTCGGAGATTAACTCCTGTTTGGTTGATGGTTATGCATCGCTTGGTACTTTGACTTCGACCGATTTTAAATCAGGTGGACTACCACCGGCTCCAACGTCTTCTAAGCTGACAGGACGTTTATCACCAGCAGTAAAATGACGCGATATTCCTCCTCGCTGGATTCGGATGTAGTGGTGTTCAACTTGGGAACTGAGAGCGCTTGTACGCAGAGGAGGCCTGAAAGAAAAGTTTATAAGGAATGTGGTTTCCTTATTCCCGAGAATCCTTGAATAAGTAGTACTCACCAGCGGCGAAAATCACTAAGCTATTCAATTTGCTAGATTTAAATTTGACTTAGTTATGTCTCCTACACAGAAAATGAACCTTTTTATATGTGTACTTTGACTGAAACTCTGGTTGGTTGGGATTGATTGGCTCGATAAAAATTTATTTGTATTTTGTGACAATTAATAATGAGCTTGCGTATGACTAATATAGTCACAAGCCCATTTTCCAATACTTTTTCATACTTATACAGCCGCTAACAAAGTGACTCAAAGTGGCACGCGGCGACTGCATAATTTTCCTGTTAACGAATTCCCAACTCCCGTTCGTGCCACTAAGTTCCGTTTCCTGAAAGTATGTATGTTAAGTACTCATGTAACGCAAACGTCTGGATGTCTGGATCAATTTCAATAACAAGCCGAATGTGCCGGCGTGACATTCCCATATTCATGAACTCGTTTAAAAAAAGGTGAACAACGAGTTCAAAAAAGAAGATGCAGCACATTAACCAAATTAAGTAAGTTGATGGGAAAATATGACGCAAATGCAGCCAGTGATAATGAGACGCTTTGGAGTAAATAAAGAATCAATAGCTGTGACTCTCAGTTATTTGAAGAAAAAAAGGTGTGAGCTCGAATTTTGGACTGGTGAGTGCAAGAAACCAGTAATCCAATGAAGAGGCCGAAAGGAAGAAGTAAAAGTATTTTCGCCAGTCACGCTTTCTTAAGTTAAGATACAATTAAAATGTGACGCCAATGCACAGTGGTTCAAAATTGGCATTTCGTGTTCACAATTCACTGGAGCCTTTATTTTTCAATCAATTTGATAAATTTTTTTTAAAGGTAGCTAATAAAATTTTCAAGAGACCAATTGAGTCCAATTTTTGAATTTTTGTTTGTTTGTATTAAATTTTTTAGTGAAAAGTGTAGAAAAAATAGCAATTTTGAAGAAACAGGAGAATCGATTTTGTAGTTAATAAATGATACTTAACAAAAACTAGTTGATAAACATTTATGGTTCCCTCAAACGAAAAAAAAATCTCAAAAAAAATTTGAAATGTTATAAAAATTAATGTTCATCCAAACTAAAAAAAAAAACTTTGTTTCTACAAAAATTTTGGGCATGCAGGGTTATAGATCATTATAGTTTAGTATAATAAAGTGCAATCTGCAAGTGGCTAAGAGATCGCCACTTATCAGACGAAACTGTAACACCAAACTGCCAATTCACACAGGAATTACCGCTATCTTCTGCCTCTTGTTGTTTGCTGCTATTTTGGGTACTAGAAAGTGTGGTTCATTTTCTTTTTCAGCTGTTTGCAAGTTAGCCGTCTAACTTCCACGGCTCTCCATTTCCGTATGACCCTAATATAAAAATCTAAAATCCGCTGATTCTTGAGTTACTTGCATATAACAGATTAAGTTACGTAAATTAAGTCTATGTTATGAAATCATGATTGAGAGAATACATAGGTTTCGGCGCTCTAGACACATTAAACATTAAAAATATTCAATGTGCCTTGGTTGAAATTTTCTCCTTATCTCCGTTTGCCAAATTGGTTTCTTTAATGTTTATTTATTTTCCATTCAATTTCAGATTAACAATCAAAGCTGGCTGTCCAATGAATTTAGAAGACTTTCCTATGGATATACAAAAGTGTCCACTAAAGTTTGGCTCATGTAAGTGAAATGAAAACTGCCAAAAACTTGTAAACAACTTATGAAAGTTCAACATCAAACCAACGTAAATACATATAAAGTAAATGCAATTGAGACTTCGTACGTGTACTTTATATGTACGTACATACATACATATGTACTAAATATGTACATCCACTCTTATGAGCACACAAACAAACAAGTAAACAAAATAATTTCTTTCATAATTTTCTTAAACTTATGCAAGTGAGATTTTTGAGTTACGGAACGCTGAGGGACATACACACACACGTATTATATGTACACTAGGGTGGTAAAAAAAAAAAATTTAATGTTAGCTCTCACCCTCTAGGATTTTTCTTAACGGAAAATATGATAATCGAATTTTTTGTAAAAAAAAAAATATATTTAGAACTGCCTCAAAACCCATGAAGTTTTCTATGTATTTTATATGGGGAAAAAACATATTTACTTAGAAATGGTATAGAATTCCTAAAGTTCGATATATTTTCGATCGGAAAACTCGGTCTCTTATCAAGAGAACTCCAATAATAACACCCAAATGTTTATTTTATTTTATTACTTATGGGTCCTTTTTTGGGGTTTTTCGTGAATATTAATTTATTTCAAATTAAAAATTGGGTCTTGTTATTGGAAGTCTCCTAAAGAGAAACAGAGTTTTCCGATCGAAAAATATTGATTTTAAAGAATTCTATATCTTTTCTATGAAAAAGTGTTTCTTCGCCTCATAAAACACGTGGAAATCTTCATGGTCTTTGAGGCAGGTGAGAGCTTAACATTTTAAATTTTTTCCCCCGCTTGTATTTTTGGACCGCCCTAATATGCACTTGTGCATAAGCATGTGTGTATAATTGTGTAGCTATTTTTATTACCTATTGACCTTGATGACTCAAAGTCGCAAATAAGCTTATGTGAGCGGAGGACACAACATATAGGCGCTTGTAGTCGGCGGTCCGCTTGTATTAATGCGATCTAACTACTTATAAATGCAATTCAACGAAATACTTATGAATTGCATACATACATACATATATTTACATTTACCAGGAATGCAGCGTATTACTGTACATATACTCAAAAGCAAGCTTGCAAACACCCTGAATGCTTATCGCTTTGCGCCACTTTACTGCCAGCTTTCTTTTTTTTTTTTATTTGCATACTTTACTAGCCTGCTGCGATTTGTGATATTAAAATGATTTAAATAGCTCTTATGCTGCCCACTCGTCCTTATACTTATTCACATGTAAATACATGTACATACATATACATATGTATGTATACGTAGTTAGCAGCAACGCAAAATACGCCACAAAAAGACAAATGGGTAGACCAAAAAAGAGGCTAGTAAAAGCGCAGCGCGCAACTATGGAAACAAGTTAAGCTGTTGTTAGCCGTTTGTAGTTCATTTATTCGCTGCTTATTCGTTTATAGCGGCAAAAGCAATGAATGTATACAGAGGGCTACATACGGAACATGCATTGTATAAGAAATTGTTTTTTGCACCCCAAGTACATAATCATTATTGTTTGTTGCATGCGCCATAGGCGGTTGAGGGGTCGGTGAAGGTGCGCTCTGGTGCATTGGCTTAGTTTTCTCGCATAGCAGCTTTTCTAATGAATATGTCTGCCCGCCTATTCGACATTCAAACGCATTCAAGGCTTTAATTGATTGCATGCTGTGGCAGGAATTTAAGATGATTTGAAGGAAATTTGAGATTTTGTGTTAGAGAGAGTCGAAATATTTTAAAAATTTCTTGGAAGAGGATATCGCTCGTTTAATAATATACAGATGTAACTCAAAATTTATGTTTTTTGGAGATTTCATCACACAATAAATAAACTTGATAAGGAGAATATGTTCAGCCTAACAGATGACTAAACTTCCCAAAAATGACTAAGATATGTGACTTTCCATCTGTCTTTTGGTATACCAAATGTATGGATTGAACAAAATTTGATTTCGTTTTCCCACAAAATTGAAATTTTGAAATAATTCTGTATATTATTAAACGTGCGATATAATAAACAAGTCGTTTTAATAGCAATTAGTGCTTTCAGAAATTTTTCTTAACAAATAGTTTTTTGACATTTTTCTCAGCTTCCGCTTTGTCGGCAATACCAATTCAAATATATTCCCATCCGGAACGCAAACCAAGTAAACTTTACATACTTTTTCTGTCTCTGACTCATTCTAATTTTTTTGTTAGTGATCCCCGAGTCAAAAATGCTGCTTGGCTATCTGAACAATGGCTGGTTTTGAGCTCCTTTGCAGTTTTTATTTATACCTTACTAATCGTCTTGATCTGTAGTATTTTTTTCTGAAATTTTAGTTGCCGGAACGAGAGAGAATATATGAAAGTAGAGTTCTCCTCGATCCCCCAAAAACTGAGTTAGTAGACACCTTTACTCACTAGGCTATGGCTGCCATTAGGAAACCCCAATTTAAACTATTTCCCCTAATAATTCCAGAAGGATTCTTGTGGGTAAATTGTGTTGTAAGTAAATTTTTGAATGCGGAACTCTTCTTCAATTATTTACATTAGGTGCCCCATATATTCTTAGGTCTGAACTGGAGTATAATTTTTTGTTGTTCTATCTTATGCCGAATTTCCACTAGGTATTGAAATTACCAAAAATGTATACGAATTAAAAAAATGCCATGTGAAAATGTGACTATTTTTATGAACGCAATGGCACGGAAATTTTTAATGCCCAACATTGTCATTAAGAATATTGTCATTTAATGCCTAGTGGAAATTTACTATTACTCATCCATATTCGATTCTACGTATTTTTTCAGACATATATATGCACATGACTAACGAGCTCAGATCAAAGAAAATATTTAATGTTTCTGAAAAGCACTTTGTATAGGTTAAAAATTCTTTGTTTGATCAGCAGCTAACTTCATATAGGCATTTTAAAACCAAATATCTTTTTAGTATTTTTTATATTCAATCACAGAAAAATTCAGCATCTACAGCATTTTTAACGTCTTTCAAGCTAATTGCATTCATTAAACATGATTTATATTCGCATAAAATCGATTTTTTTTTGTTTGGATTTTGCATTTCAATTTGCACTTTTGATTTTCGAGACGTACCACCAGTCGTATACGTAACATCATTAAAAATCAATTTACTCATTACACATCAAATAGACGTGCGTACGACAGACTACAAAGTATGCGTACATACTATATATGTACAAATGTATTGTAATGTATGCATATCCGCATAGTAAACCTCAATGTGACACAATTTGAAAGCCGCAGAAATAAATATAGTACATACATATGTATTTAAATGTGCACATACATATGTACTTCGCCGCACCGTGAATATACTATATAGCTATATCTGCGTAACAGATGTAAACAGTGAATATTTAAAAGAGGATTTTGAGTATAGATGGTCTAGTATAGTTATGTGGAGTTTAGGCCAAAAATAGGCTTTGCACATAAATTTGTACCATCTTACTAACAAAGACCATTGGAGTAGTACCCAAGTATATGTATAAGTACACAAGCTGCATCAGTTTGGGACCTGCTCCAATGCTCTAACCGGTGTTACCTAAAATACTGAATATACATATTTTACCCCTGACTCGTTTGTTATCCGGTCCAATAGTCCAAAATGCCAGACTACTAAATATAAATAACCCCAAGTGGTTCTATAGTAGTTCGGAACATAGACAAAGAATGTAGTACGTTTTACCACCTTGTCTTCATCACGACATCTCCTACAGAGAAAATTACTTGATATGCGCCATCATATGTGCATTGGTGTAATACGAAAATAAACTTTGATAATCCCGGTAAGAGCTCTTATTGCAGGTTCTTTTAATTTCAGAAGATCTTTCACATTCTTCCTATTTTACGTCGACCATAATGACAGTAAAATTTTAATCCATAAGTTAATATTTTAGTCCATAGGTTATTATTGGCATTAATCAATGCAGAGGTTCTTCGCATAGATCTCAGCTTGGAAGGAGATACAGATGTTTTGTCGAGAATTTCTAACTGATCCATAGGTCCCTCTAAAAAAAGAGAGCCAATTCCTTGGTAATACTACTATCTAGCATTGGTAGATACGGGTCCGATTTTTATTTATAATTTAGACTGTTTTCTCAACTTCGAATTTACTAACTCGCCTCTCTACAGGTCATTTTGTTGTTATAATTAGCTGCTAGATGTTTCTTAAATCTCTTCCCAATTTTTCTTCCTCATTTTTATACCCGAGCGCACTTTTTCACAAGGTTATTATAACTTTGTTCGTATAACGGTTGTTTGTGACAGCCTAATGAAATCGAGATAGATACAGACAAATGTTGGTAGGTTGGTATTGAAAATGGGCGAAGTCGGACTGTAACCACGCCCCCTTCCCTTATGACGGTATTTTCGACAAATGTTAAAACTACGATATATCAGTAAATCTTGCATCCAGTTTGATTAAAATTAGTGCGTGAATTCGAATTTTGGTGTAAAATAATATTATTATGAAATTTTTGGAAAATGGGCACGACCCCGCCCACTTATGATGAAATTCTGACCCTCAGTAGCCGCTTCACTAATCCTCGGTGAAGGTTGGCTTAGAATCCAGCTAAAAAATCTCTTGAAAATCTTATAAATCGGACAATTAACGCGCTCAGCTCCCATATAACGGTAATTTACAGTAGCACGAAAACTGAGATAAATCAGTAATTACCAAAGCTAATTGACTCCAAATCGATCACTGCAATAACCACTTAGCAGAAAATTAGATTATCATAAATTTTGGATCTTGGGCGTGGCGCCGCCTATTTATGACCACAAATGTGTATCTCGGTAAAAGATTTATCGATTTCTACCAAACTCGGTGCACTTAATAACCGTGGTACGAAAAAGCAATTCGTTGAAAATCATTCATATCGGACTAAAATTACACCCACCTCACGTATAACGCTAAATTTGAGATATAGAAAAACTTAGATATTTCAATAACTCAGGGCGCTCATTTACTCCAAATTAATACTTACAACAATCTCTTAAAAAATAAGACTGTTGTAGACCTTTGGTAGTTTAGCGAAAATTGAAACGACGATATTTTCGCCCGAACTTATGCTTCTTTACTTGTTTACTTTTAGTAGCTCCGGAGAGATGACTTCTTAGAGATTCAAGAGATCATTTGATATATATTCCGCTATCTCCACATTCGAATAAAGTAAACCAAAGCATGAGCTGTCATTTTGTATAGTCCCATAATATTAAGTACATACAGGTTGCTTTGGTGCTGAAGGCGGGTTTTTTAGAGCATCCGATGACGATTAAATGGTTCTAAATTGGATAGATCTGACAATGCTATTATCACACGTGCAGAGTTTAGCATGTCATTTCATCGTGAATAGACTTACGCCAAACAACACTTGCAAATTGTGCAAATGTATTTCGAAAACCGTGGTTCAGTTCGGGAATGTCCATTTGCGATCGACATCATCGATCACGATTTTTGTATCACGTATACTCTTAATGAGCCATGTCCAGCATTGGCAGAATTGGCCTACGACCTTATAAAATGCAGTTTGTGTAGCACGGCACTAAATATTTTATCCTGATCCCACTCAACCCGAAATTCAGTTTTTGAGTACCGTAAGTATGTAACGCCATTACTAAGTTTCAATTTAAAGTTCTGCGACTCTAAAAAATTTATTAGAAAATCTTGTAAAACTATAATTCGAAAGATCAATAAAAAAAAACGTAATGAATTTCTTACTTTGCAGATAACCTAAGCGGTCGAATTTCCACCCTAGTACCCTTTAAATTTTAATAATTTTCCACTATGAACTATCTTCTAAGCTATTCCAAGTGTGTGCAAAACCTGCATATATGTACTTATAATAGTGGTTGCACAGCTTTGCTTTGCTGGGGTGCCGCGGCGCATACGTAACCTCAATACAAAATAATTAAGTTGTTGTCAAGTGTTTGATTCATTTGCAACATACGCTGTTTATTGTTTTGCGCTTACTTCTGACATTTGATTTTTCTTGCCATATTTTTTGCTGACTTCTGAAAAAGCAAAATAAAAAAAGCAGAGCGACTGTCTACTTCCTGTCTTTGCGTGCAAAAGATACTAGGAGCGAGTGCACATAAATTTTAATGAATTCCATATTTTGAAATTCAAATTTGTGCAAAGTGCATGCGGAATTCGGGTCGAAGGCAATATTCTTACACATATGCGAAATACATTTACATGCACAAGAATATTGTAGCTTGTGAAATGAAAACAAAAGTATACTTATAAAACCCATTTGAACTACATACATACATATATACATGCATACAAAAAATTGTATTGCTGATTTCAAACTTACATTCTAAGCAGTTCAAAACCTATCTGCTGACTCTCATTAACTCGTCAACTGCCAAACAACAACGGAAATTAGTACGGTAAAGGAAAAGGAAACAATGTTGTAATGGCATTTGGCTGTTTATTGAAATCAACGAATGCGAAGGAGTGGAAGAAATTAAAGGAAAATGGTGAAACAAATGTTTAAATGAACTAAAAAAAGTATAAATAATCAGATGAGACGCAAATTAGTGTGAAGATGCAAAAAAATCAAGGGGAAAGCCGATGAGACAACCATTCCTCAAAAGTACCGCTGCGGCACACATACACACATAAAAGTAGTTTCTTTTTTTGCGTACAAATTATGTCTGAGTAGATTACATGCCTTATTGGCATTTTCATTACAGTTCGATGGCCACAGGGCATGTCTAGCCTTCGTTGATATTTGCTGGATACGAATTTTTTTGAATTTTTGCCTTGCCAGTAAACTACAAAATAAATCAATTCCAATACAAATCAATGAAAATAGTCACTTCCATCTGCAGAAACTCATTTATTCTACCAAGTACATACTCGTACATATGTAATGAAGGTGAGCAGCTTCAGCAGTTTTGTAGTGTGCCACCTGAATGAATCAATTTAGTACTGTCTGACACTTGAATTGAGTAAACATGCAAACACATTTTGCTAACTGCGACAATGACAATAAAAACAGAGCACCAACAACAACAGCGCAATTTGTGTAACGAGCTACAGAAACATCAGATAGGTATGCAAAAAAACGAATGATTAAAGAAGCAAATGCCTGCCCTAATATTGTTATGTAACCATATGCGAATGTATGATGATTTAGCTTCTCCCTTATACACATACTTACATATGTGTCTATGTCATAGGTTATTTCTTCTCAGCAAGCTTAAATGAATCACTTAACCATGTAACAACAGGCATTGAAATTTTATCTCATACATACAGTTACTCAAACAAGTGTTCGCAACGTTTGTGTCTTTATTTTAAAAGATATTCTTTTAATAAAATTTTAAACAGTTTGCACAAGAAATTAGTTACAAATCTCTACGAAAATATCACCAATTCAACTTTACCATACAGACGGAAACATGGATTTTTTTTTCTTTTTTAATTACATGTTTTTGTGATTTTCTTTTGATTTTTAGATTTTATTATTTTAAAAATTTTTTTTTATTTCATTTCATATATTTTCATGTTTTTATTCTTTTTTCTGTCTTTAATTTAGCTTTCAGATTTTATTGTTTTAAAGAAAAAAAATTATATTTTTTTTAAATTTCATTTAATGATTATTTTATTGTTTCTTCTTTTTTCAAGGAAGGAAGGTTTGTTTCTTATTTAGTTTTTAGATTCTGTTTTTTTTTTAATTGTTTTTATTTTATGTAATTTTTGGGAACTTATTTAATTTAGTTTTTTTTAATATATATATTTTTTTAATTATTAGATTATATTATTTTTTTAAAGAAGAAATATTCATTTTTTATTTCATTTAATTCTTAGGAACGTATTTAATTTTTGATTTTAGTTTTCTTTTAATTAACAATGCGCCTGCATTCATATTTACATATATAAACTAAAAGCAGCGCTGCACATTCTAGAAGTACCTAAAAGTTTGCAGCGTAGGTTCCTTTCAAAAATATCTATATATTTTTCTTTTAATTTATTTATTTATTTTTTTTTTAAAGGAAATTGCCTGCCGAGGGGCAACCGCTGTGAAGAAAAAACCTTTTTTCTACATTGTTTTGCGATGTTGCTTTGACCAGAGCTTGAACCCAGTCGCTGCGGAGTGGAAGTGCGCACTGCTTACTACTACACCACAGCGGTAGCTTTTAGGAAAGACAATTTTTTGGATGGTGGGCGGTATAGAAATGAAAGCAGGTTCTTACCAGCCACGTTGGCCGCCCACAGACTTTAGCTACTTCTTAAACACTTATCAATGCAATTTTGGTTTTTCGCAGTGCCAGATGTTACTCTTATTTACTTCATTTATCACTTGCGTACTTGAAATTCATTACTTACTCAACTCACTTAATACCTTCCATCAGAAAATGTTGTGAAACTCACTGACACTCTCAACAATCGCTTGTCTAACAATCTCACAATCGCTAAACTCGTTGACACGCTGCATTTACGCAAACAAATGAACTCATTTTCTGCTACATACATACATTTTTTTTTTACATTTTAACTAACACTTTCCTTCTCTTCACTCACACTACAGTTGGCTACACGACAGCGGATGTTGTTTATCGTTGGAATCGCGAGCGACCAGCTGTTGCCATTGCTGAGGATATGAAATTGTCACAATTCGATTTGGTTGATTGCCCCGCTGGCAACCTCACCGATGTGATCTACAAAGCCGCTGCACCGCATGATGCAACATCGGACAGCAGCAACAATAGGGGTGGCAATAGAAATAGCAACAATTACTACTACAACAACATGAATGCGGGCAACGATTTCAACCACAATCGTTACAATCAGAAATATGGCAGCAAATCGATGAGTACGTTTGCGGGGCCGGGTGCAAAGAATCAACATGTACGCGGTACTGGGTCGCAGTTGGACAAAGGTGCCTTTGGTGGTGGTGGTGGTGGTGTGGGTGTTGGTGCGGGACGCGGTGGTTTTGGGGTTGGTAGTAATTTGGATGCACCGGGTTCAGTGCGTTTCGAATCGAGTCGGGCGTGTAAGTAAAGATTTGATTTATTTGGTATTATTTGTTTTTATTTGTTAAAGGGGGCTACTTTTTGTTTGTTTCTTTTTTTGGGTTACTCATACGTCATGTAGGTCAACCAGTCGCTGAGTACGAATGATTTAGTTGAGCTCTTAGAGATAATAAATCATGGAAATAGCCAAAGCGCATTGAACCACTGCAGTGATTAATTTGCACCAACAACAACAATAATGCACTATGTAGCCTTAGGCAAAGCAATTGATTAGTCACACAAAACTAGAAAAAAAATAAAAACTTTCTAATTGATGGCACTTCATATTTAACTTTTCGCACTGCACTAAACATATTTTTCTCTTTTCTCTCTCTCTCTCTCTCTCTTTTCCTGCCCTCTATACCAACAGCTGAGTACTCGATGTTAATGGTTAATTTTCACCTACAACGCCACATGGGCAATTTTCTCATACAAGTCTACGGCCCTTGCTGTCTACTGGTCGTCCTATCCTGGGTCTCGTTCTGGCTTAATCGTGAAGCTACCGCAGATCGCGTCTCGCTCGGCATAACCACCGTGCTGACAATGACATTTCTCGGCTTGGAGGCACGCACCGATCTGCCAAAGGTGCCTTATCTCACCGCATTGGATTTCTTCGTATTCCTCTCTTTCGCCTTCATATTTGCTACAATTCTACAATTCGCTGTCGTACATTACTTTACCAAATATGGTTCGGGCGAATGTTATTTCATTATAGAGGAAATGGATTCGGATACCGAATCGGATGCAGATGCACGTACGCTTAAAAGCGAATTCAATGAGAGCACCGATTCAAGGCTCTATGAAGTTATACCGCTTTCGATGTGTTCGATACCGATACATGGCGCCGGCAAAGGTTCGACGAGCAGCAGCGGCATTGGTGTGGGTGCGCGGTCTCGTCGCAATTCAGGCGCGAAGCGGCGTATACTTGCCGGCGGTAGAAATGAAGCTGCTGGTGGTGGTCGTTACAACTTCAATTGTTTCGCGTGGCCGTGTTTCCGACGTCGCAAGCGAGGGCGCGTCGGGTTCGATATGTCCGACGAGGATGATGAGGAGGCACATTTGCGAGCGAGTGAAGGTAAGAATGTTTAAGCTTTTTGTAATGTTTTCGCAACTGCGAACTTAGGAAAGAGAATATACTCGCTGTTAGTAAAAGGTGGATAAAATCTTGAATTCAGGATAGGTCCGTTGTTTTCGTCAAGTTCCGCACCCCATGAGACTGCCGCCAAGCATAACTCCATGTGAGGGGAAGGCGCTTAGTCGCCGTTGCTACGTCTTGGTCTTGCGAAAGCCCCCAATCTTTTCATTGTTGCATGTACGAATGATACGGATGAGTGATTTCCTCCAAATGCTCGGCGAATCTGCCGTCTTGCATCCTCAAAATGCGCCATTCGAAGAATACATGGTTTACATCTTCTATAACATATAACAGGATCAGATTCATGTTTAAACCGGTATAAGTACAAGTTAAGTAGAAGTCTACTTCGCCGTGCGTTTTGTCAAGCCAGCGATTCAAATTCGGGATACGGAGAGTTGTCCCATCATTGTTGCCGGGCTAGCCTGCTGGCATCTTTTACAGTGGAAGTTTCAATTTCGCTCCCAAAAAGCTTTTCTTCTGCCCGATGGGCTACATGCTAGCGACAACCAATGCTGCCTCGTCCGAGACTGCTTCGAGCACACAGCATACCCGAAGGGCACATAATCTATACGCTGATTTCACACCGCGGAAGTACGATGACTGTTGCAATGCGCTGTGCCAAACAGGCGTCTCCGTTTTCTGCTCCTCCAGCTTAAGGCCATTTTTTTCTTGAAGCCACGATTGTACGGCTTCTATGACTTTATTGCCTTTATAGCAAATTTCGCTTAAGTGTCTCGCAGTAACTACAACCACGATGTCGTCCGCAAAACCAATTACCTCGGTCGCCTTGGGTACCTTAAAGCGAAGAACTCCGTCGTGCATAATGTTCGTAGACAAAAGTCCAAGCACAGTGTCTTGGAAAACGCCGCTTGAGATTTTTCGATTTTTCGCACCTGCTGAAGTTTTGTACTCCGAACGGTCTTCTAAGTAGCTTGTATGAGCATTCTAAGGTACGAAGCTACCCCGATATGAACCAGTGCGTCTAGGCGTGACATGAAATTTTTCATCGCAATTTTGTATGCTGATCCCCACGGATTCTTCTCAGCGTCGTCTTATTGCTATTTTCAGTACATGTCTCTCTGCTTTGTATCTTCCTCTGTACTGCGCGAACTAAACCTTTCCTCTTGCACGTTGGAAACGACTTCTCATCTTGATGCACCCTGTTCTCAGGGTTTAGATGCGGTCGTTCCACTAAAATACAGCACATTGTTGCTTCGGTATTGACTTCCGTGCCATTTCTGTATCGCAAACTTTAGCCATTGGCTGGGAGGACATCACGTTGCAGCTTTTCCGCTGGAGTCTTGCGTCCAGTTACCAGACTGTGCAATTAACGGCTCACTTAGTAAAGCTACGTCGGCCTTTAACTCCCCTACTATTTGCGACAAGAGATCTTGTGTGGCTTCGCAGGGATTGAGGTTAATTGGTTTAAGGTGGCGAAATTCTTAAAAAGCTTAGGCATTTAATGCAGCTTGCTAATATCAACGACCTCTCGTGTCGGAGAGGGTCTGCTTATAACAGATCAGAAAAGTAGAGAAAATGAGTCGTAAACTAGCACCGAAGCATAGTCAGGTGGAGTCCTCTTGCGTGGTCGTTGTTGTTGTTGTTGTAGTGGCTAAAACAACCCCCCCAGATCGGTTAATATCTCAGTCGTCGTCGTCAAGTTCCACTAACAGCAGTCCTAAGAAGCGTGCAGCCTCAATGGGGTCGGTCCACAGGGACAAAGGCGTTAGAGTTGTTGGGTTTTCCGGGCATACGAAGAGATGCTTCGAGTCATGAGGTGTATCTCCGCATGCCGGACACTCATTCGGCACATCTGCGTTTAGTCTGCTAAGGTATGAGTTTAATCTGCTGCAGTAGCCAGAGCGAAGTTGGGCTATTGTGGTCTTGTGTGGTCGTCGACGCTCCTGCTGCGGCTGCAGCCAGTAAGAATCCCGTATCAATGAAAGCTACATTTTTGGAAGCCTGCAGCCGTTTAGTGGATGCAGTTGCATTCAAATCTTCTACAGAACAACTTCCAGAGCACGTGGAAATCATTACAGGCTTATGGCGTTTCCTTGCCTACTCATTGCCCTCTGCGCACAAATCTAAAGAAGAGGGCAACAAAAAGGTAACCTTTTTTGTCGAAAAGAAAACGCCATTGAATTCCACGCTGATCTGCAATGCAACTTAATTCAAAACATAATTTCCAGGGAAATCTCATGCAAGCTGTTTAGTAGGTAGTACATATTTAGTTGTTATTCTAGCACAAGTCTTCATTCACCACTCGTGGTAAAAAACTATTTTGAGAGAAAGCATTACTTACTGAATACAGCACAAGTTTTTCCATTGAAGGAATCACCTAACGCCGTGTTTTCACTAGGCATTCAATGTAAAATTTTTTTGTTAGAAAGGGCATTACAACAGGGGGCCGTTTTAAAATAACTGTCATTGTGTTTATAAAAATAGTGATACAATTCGTTTTCATGTGACAATTTTAAATGACACAAATTTTTCTTATTTTCACGCCCCGTTTACAAAAATTTCTTTGCTTCTTCTCTCCATTCAGAACCCACTCCACATCGTGCCTCCGGCAAGAGACGCATGTCCTTCTATCGGCGCGAAGAGTTAGAGGCGCGTCGCAAAGGCAAGCGTGTGCCGCAGTACAATTCCGTTTCGAAAATCGATCGCGCATCACGTATCGTCTTTCCGATGCTCTTCCTACTCATCAATGTATTCTATTGGTATGGTTATTTGTCGCGCAGCTCACGAATATTAGCGAATACGCCAACGACCACCTGATGTTACCTTTTAGCAATTTAGAGCAAGTCCGAGAGGAAATCAAACGAATGGCAATGGAGCAGCGTGTAAGGGGCGTAGCATCACTAACTTATTTGGAATAAAAACTTATTAATTTGCTAAATGCTGGTAGTACGAATTTGGTGCGATGATAAATTATTTAAATCAAAAACATATTTTTAGAAAAAGAAAATTTAGAAACAAATGCTGCCGTTTACATTGAAAAAACTGGAAAACAACAAATTTCAAGAGGCTAACGTCTGCTCTCTGTCATTGCTTAACACGACACGTTTTTTGCTTAACAACTGCAAATTTAATTTCTTCTTAACTAAATTGCTAAAATAAGGAAAATATCTATATAGAAACTTGAAAAAGGACTTGGAAATTACAAAAAGCGCAGACAAAGAAAACAAAAATAAAAATAAAAATACAAGAGTAATTACAATTAGTTGATGTAAGCATTTAAGTAATTAAATAAAATTTTACTTAAGAAGTGTCATACAACAAAAGAAAACACAATTTATTAAATTCCAATGTGATGAAACAGTTTAGCTTTAACTCGGTAACGGTTTGAACAGTTTGAATGTCACAAAGCTCTAGCATTTGCAAGAGTACAGTATGCAGTTTTGAGGCCACAGAGCTTATTAATGGGCCTCCGCAAACTGGACTGCTCAGTCCGCCTAAAACCGGTTTTGTGTGGATAAGAGGGGGGAGAGAGTTCGAGTTTACCTCGTTCATTTCAGTCGCGGATTGACAGTGGACTGACACGCACACATAGACAACATGTTTTGTATTTCCCCAACAAGCAAAATAAACTTAAAGAAAGTTTTTTTTAAGTTTTCAATTATAAACATTAAGCTTACAAAACGTTGATTTTTTGTTTATAAAACGCTTGAAAGTAAGCGTAATATAATCGAAAAGGAACATTGGTTATAAGCGTAGAAATATAAACTTGTAATAAATGTTCAAAAGAAAGCTTTTTATAAGCGTAAAAGTGTAAACTTATAATAAAGGTTCAAAAAAAGGTTCTTATAAGCGTATCAATATAAACTTACTAAAAATTTTCAAAAGAAAGCTTTTTATAAACATTTTTATAACCCTTTATTTAAAGATATTTCATTAAAAACTCATACATAGATTACTTAACATCTAGAAACTAAACGAAATGCGAATTTTCGGCGGACTCATCTACAGTCGCGAAAATATAAATAGGGAATAGACATTTTAGCATACAAATTCACAATAACACATACAAATTAAGCATAAAAAAGTTAATTATTACATCTTGTTGCGTGCTTTCAATTACTTGCGGTTATTGGCAAATTGGAAAAGCGACATCGATGCAGCTATATATTCCGCTTCATCGCCGCCATTCTCATTGATGAACTTTTCTGAAAAAAATTTAATACATTTTTAATTGAATGTTAAACTAAGAAAGGATAAGGGGAACTCATCATTTGAAGACTCGAATGCTCCACCGATTAGCGCAGCGGGTCCTGGATTGGATTTTCTGGTTTTACCGCATTGGTTTTATTTAATTTTTTCTTTTAATAATATATTTTAAAAAACGTAAACACGTCACTTACGATTGAAAAAATTTTATATTTACTACTTCATGTCGTTGACATTTACATTTCATTTATAAGTTTAAGTTATTTATAAACATTCGCTCTCAAAACTTATTAAAGGTTTATTTGAAAAAACTTTTAATAAGCTTAATATTAAAAATGCTTATTTAACGCTTATTATAGCAAACTTAATTTAAGTTATTTTTAAAAACGTTTACTGAAATGCTTGTTGGGTCGTTTTGTTTGCATGTGCCACCATGCACTAACACAATCAAGCGTAATTCATGTATAGAAAACTGAAACAGCTGTTTTCGGTCGACTGCCCAGTCCAGTGTGCGTTCGAGTGGTGGACTGCTCAGTCCGACTGAGCAGGCTAGTGTGCGGAGGCCCAATGTTTCAAAATTATGCATAGTATTGTGTGAATGAGGAGAGTGCATTTGAAAGTGTTAGTATTAGTGATGATTGTGTGCCGTCTGAGTAACACGGGCCGAAGATAAAATAATAAATATGTGCATAAATTTAATAAATGATAATTAAATGTATTAAAATTATCAACTCTTTTGTTAAGAAGCTAGAAAATAATCGTAAACTGCCTAATGGCTGAAATATTACCGTTAGCTTTATTTTGGATAAGTAATAATGTAAGAAAAAATTTAAATGTACTAAACATTCGTGCAATAAAATAAGTTTAACATTATTGAAGTAGACAAATCGTATCTGTAATTATTTTGGTAGCATCCGACGGATACCATCCGCACGGATCTAATCCGATTCGCGCTGTCATAACAAGCGAGTGAGAAGGATTAGGTTCATGAGAATGTCATCCCTCGGAAACAGACCTTTTCCGGTCAGACAGATACCTAATCCTTCGCCCTCGCTTATTCCAAAAGTGCGAATCTGATTAGATCCGTGCGGATGGCATCGGTCGGATATAGTAATAGGCATGATTACCACTCAACTTCTTCCAAATAGGAGCCAATCAACCTACGTTTATATTTATCCTTAAAAGTAATTCGAAGCCAATACTTCCAAACCAGCCAAGTCGAGGTCTAGAAGTTATGATTCTAAACCTTACACCATGTATGACGCAATTTATGACAACAATGCTAAGTATAATCGAAGGTTTGATCAAAGCGCGGAATTAAACGCCTCCACGCAGTTGGCGCACTTAGGGTATTCGATGATATGAAGCCTTACCTCATTCTAACCTATCACGCAATGACCTGTTAGAACTCCCACCAATAGCAAGAAATTCCAAAAGTTCAATGGACCGCTTCCGGTCTACACGTGATCAGAAAGCTTTTAAACTCCTTATATTCCAAAGTCTTCGTCTAGCCCGCTGAGCTGACTACGTGTTCAGAAGTGGCCCACACAAGGTCAGGGGAGCATTTCCTCAAGGGTTCCCTGGCTTGCCAGTTCATCGGCCATGCAGTTTCCAATGATTATTCTGTAACCCGAAACTCAAATAAGCTTAATACAGCAGTAAACCGATGCAGTCGAAAAGGGAGTCAAACAATCCTCCACTGTTCTCGAATGAACGATCAAGAAGCCAAGAGCCCTGATGGCGTCCTTAAAAGCTGTCACACTGGAAAACAAACAATCCGAAGCTTCCTTTATTGCGGCTATCTCTGCTTGGAAAACGCAGAAGTATTCCGGTAGCCAAAATTTTAGATTGATGGAGAGTTCTTGGCGGTAGACAACTCCCCCAACCTTCTCATTCAGCTTCGATTCATCCGTAAGGTAACCAGACCTGGCTCGTTGAAATATAGGATGGATCCGAAAACCGGAGTCCGCATAGTTTAAATCAAATCTAAAGTCCTCAAACTACAGCCTCATATCCCCACTAGGGGCAACAGTTTTGACTTCAATGTCACTGAGTACGAGTCTTTGCGCACGTTTCACTTGCATTAAGCGTCCATAGAAGGTCAAAATTACCTGTTTATCAGTCAACAGGACAACAGCTGCAGCGCTGATGAAACTTTTTTGATTAGACAGTGCCCGTAAAAAAGCTATATTGAGAATGTGAAAAGTAGCTTTACAGAAGAGATCTGAATATCGTCGAGCAACTCAGGCTGATTTAGCGATTCGGTCCTAAAGACATCCATGCTTTTGATTCTCGATTATGATACCATTTCATTACAAGAAGAAAACCATATCTTCTATTGCCTTCCATATCCTGACCATAGCACCAGTTTAATTCGTGGACTTCGCCAGATAAGTGGACTTAATAGAAGCATTCAATTGGAGGAGGCGAAATAGTGTTTCAAAAAAGTTGCGGTAAGATTGTTTTCTAATATTTTTGATCTATATAAAATCTTGAAAGAGATTCCACGAGTGGGAATTATGAATCTGTTGGACTGCCTTTTGCCCTTTTTCGTGCATCATTGGGTTGTAAATTGCAAGTCCTGCCCACTACCTCAGGAGCTCTACTGTGTATCCTCTGCATGGACCAAACAAAGGCTGAGGGTCGATTAGGCTCCGTTGGATAATGCATTTCGCAAGAGTGTCAGCCTTTTCTTTGCCTTCGAAGCCCTCATGGCTCGAAACCTACCGCAGGGTTACACTGTTGTTAGCTCCTAGTTTTTCCGAGTACTTTTTTTTGCAAAGGTCTACTACTTTTGACACGGTTTTGCAAGCTATCTGGCTATCCGACATAATGTTTATTGTTGCCACATTAGTTCTTCCGCGAAGACATTCGTTGAGACTGCAATTGCGAAAATTTCCGCCTGGAACGCTTTTTTGAAATCTAGGTCCACACACTCCGGCCCCAGTATGCCACCCTCAAGTTTGGAACCATCAGTGTATAAAGTAAGTTCCCTCACTGAACATGGCGATTATCGTTTTACAGGTATCCCTTTTAGGTATCTGTACCTCCAGCACGCGAAGCGATCCCAAAAACGCTAAATTGTTTAGATTCATATTTCCTGGATTCAAAATGAAAACACAATGATACAACAATATTTCTTCAAAATTTATTCACAAAAAAACGCAGATTAGGAAATTAATTCTGTTAAGTTTCCCAATGAGGGTATGAAAAAATCGGGTACATAATAACGCTGGTTTTCACCGGGAGTTTGCAGCACCTCATTCAGTTCATACTCACTGTTATGGCCAGTTCCAACTAATAAAGTCTGGAAACCGCAATTGTGGCCAAATAAAATGTCAACCTTGCAGCTGAAAAATCAAACAAGCATCATATAAATTTAGTATTCTTTACTAAAACTGCACGACACAAGACCTTCCCCCGTTAACATTGATTAAATTCATATTTCACTCACACATCTCCAATCATGAGCGTCCGCTCGGCCACCAATCTGCCTGACTTAATCAACTCCGCGCAAATCCCCGGATTAGGTTTACCAAACTGCAGCGCCTTACGTCCCACCGTCGTTTCCAAGGCACTCAAAAGCGCACCCGTACCAGGTATACGAAATTCTGGATAACGATGTACCGCATCGGTGTTGGTAGTCATGAATAGACATGCTGCATTTGAACCCACAAAATTGGAGGCCTTCAACATTTTGGTAAATGTGATGTGCTCATCGAAACCCACAATGACAGCGCCAACCTCGTCAGT